AGGATCAGAGTAATAGTGGCCTCATAAAATGTGCTTGGGAGCCTTCCCTCCTTCTGTATTTTTTGGAATAGTTTGAGGAGAATAGGTATTAATTCTCAAAAATTTCTTGATTCCAGAACCCCAAACAATTTTTGTTTGTGAGTTGTATCTATTGATATTTATCCCATTAGAAATTAAGATAGGTTTAAAATATTTAATTTATTAAAAATAACAGTAGTAAGCCCATAATATAACATAATATTTAAATTTATATTCCACATAAATTTAGTGGATGAGTGATAATTGGTTTATCTTTTTGCAAATCTTTTTAATGAGCTGGTTTTTGAGAAAGCAGCGGGATTTTGTCAGCTTCTGCATTCATTCCATTTTAGTATTTTATTTATGTTTAAGCATATGAGGAAAATCTGACGTTACATAGATATGTGGTTGGAAAAGGGAGGAATATTTTAATAACCTTTTTGTGTTATTTATTTTGGATGCTACACCAAAATGACAAGTTGTAGTTTCTAAAAGGTTAGTTGTGATGTAGAATCTGAAGCCATATAAGTGAATTTATATTTTATTAAAACCTATTGCACTTTGAATGCATTTTTTACACATGCATAATTTTGTAGCATCGTAATTTAGAAAATATTGGCTCACTGAGTTATGCCAATTTTTAAATGTTGACATATTTCATTATACCCCCCCAAAAAACCACAAAAAAATCACATTAGTGAATAACCACTGATGTCATCAGAAAAGTCTAAGTATTGGGAAGCCATCAAGCCCATAATGTTGGATAGATGTTTTCTAAAATTCTAAGCTTTGATTGAAAACTCAAATTTTTAATAATTTCCAACAAATACTTAAAATTGTTTTCCTTGAAGGCTCACTTTGTTCATTTTCAAAAAAATGTCTGCCAACAATCTAAGTCTGTATTAACATGGTTGGTGTTAATGTTGGTGGATTAACATAACTGCTGTCAGCTTTTTTCAAGTAATGAAGCAAGTGCTTTCCTTCAAGTCCACCATTCTCAGTGTACAACAGAAGTGCTTTATGAGAACGTGCCATTTTTTCATATATTAAAAAGATGTGTACTCAAGGGTCAGGGTTTAATAAACTAGTCATTTTTACTGCTTCTTTAATGACATTCTGAAGTAAAACTGGCTCTTTTTCTTTGCTCAGTGGAAAACATGATTGCCAGTCAAGTTTGTGTTCAGGTGCCAGCAGTGTTTTTCAGTGACTTGTACAACCATGAGAGCAAATGTCAATAAAGAAGCAACTGTATTATATTATTATAAAAATACTTTTCACCCTCACGTGGTGCACAGACAGTACTTTGAGGACCTGTTTTAAAACGTTGACAAAAAAACCTAACTATAATACCTCCTCAATATTACTAAATATCCAGTGTTCACATTTCCCTGATGATTGCATAATTTTAAAAAAGGTTTGTTGGTTTTAATTAGGATACAAATAAGGTCCATGCTTTGCAATTAATTCATATGTCTCTTTAAGTTTTATTCTATAGGTTGCCCTCCAACATTTTTTCTTTGAGGTTTATTTGTGGAAGAACCTGGACTGTTTGTCCTGGAGGGTTACTCACCGTCTGGAGCATTGCATCCCTGTGCTGTGTGTCCCTTTTTCTTGTAAAAACCTCATCTAGAGCCTTGACAAGGTGAAGGGATTGTGTTCTGTTCACTTCATAGGTGGAATTGTATGCTTCCATCTCTGATTGTCTCACTTTTATGATTTTAGCAGCTAGTAATAATGATCATTACCTAATGCCCTTAATTTAATAGGGATTGCAAGCTGCTAAGACTCTTAATTTTATCATTCCTTCTTTTATTAGCTGGAATACTTGCATAGAGAGAAACTTTGTTTCCTAAACTATTTACCTGGTGACATAGTTCATACAATAAAGGCAGGATAAATGCTTGATTCTTTCCTTTTATTTACCAGTTGTCAAAATGAGTTGGTTGTCTACCAGCCTCCAGAGTTGACCAGTAATTTGGTTTTTGATAATATCATTAGAAACTCATTGATTTTCTTTTGTGTATAAAGAATGTTAAGGAAGCTGTCACCATCCACCATCTGAACAGTGCATTTCATTTGACTTCCATGCTGGGGAAATATGTGATTATTCACTTGTTCTTTCCATTACTTTTACCAGCATGCATTTTTCATTTCAGGCTTGATTGCCTGGGAAACTCATTCATGGGACGCTGCTTTATTTAGATCAAATTTTTTTGGTACTCATTTTTGAGTGTAGAGTTGAATTCTAGTAAGTCAAATGATAGCAGGATGCAATTGACTTTGTGCTTCATTGTATTTTATGAGGAAAATTATGTGCTGTGCTTGAGAATCAATTTATTTACTGTATTGGGGGACCTTCTAAAGCACATTAGTTGGTAGAATTCTCCCTTCCTCACATGTAGAGAGAATGCTAGGGTATAAAAACTAGAGTCTAGTTCTCCTTTACTAACATCATTCTTTATCTTTCCCATTTGTCAAAGTGGTGTTGATAATAAACAAGTACAAAATAATGTTTTTTTCCCCTTAACAGTGATGGTGGCCTGCGTTTTGGAGAAATGGAGCGAGATTGTCAGATTGCCCATGGGGCAGCCCAGTTTTTACGGGAAAGATTGTTTGAGGCATCCGATCCATATCAGGTTCATGTTTGCAATCTTTGCGGAATAATGGCGATCGCTAACACCAGGACCCATACGTATGAATGCAGGGGCTGCCGAAATAAAACTCAGGTGTGTATAGACCTTGTCAGTTGGTATTTGTTTAGGCTATAACCATGCTGTTCTCATCATCCAGGCAGATTTAGTGCGCTGGAAAAGATTGGCAATTCCACAGTTTGAATAGCACGCCTCTATAAGAGGAAAGACAATTTAATTTCTCTAAAAATCAGTTTCAGTTTTGGTTAAGAGCTTGCTCAAGAGTGCGAGCTCTTAGCAACAGAGTCGCTGGTTCAATTCACGGCATGAGCTGAGCTGCCACTGAGCTGCCAAAAGGTGGCAGGATAGCTCAGCTAAAATAAAATAAAAATCAGTTTAAGTTTTAAAAGTTTTAATGTAGTAATGTCTCTAAGCTGTTCATCTTTTGGAAATAACAAGGCCTTGTACAAAGAAAGGTTTTTTAAAAAGCTTTCAATTGAGAAGGGTGAATATAAATTTTGTCTGGCAGAAAGGGTGAAATACCAAACCCTCTTAGGAAAAAAGATCCCCAAAGCAAAGGTAGCATTGTTCATCTCTGCACTGAGGCTTTACCTCTTTCTGGGGCTGGGAAATAGGCTCGCTTCAACACAGCTTTGCTAATTACCCTTTTTCTTTCAGATTTCTTTGGTGCGAATGCCCTACGCGTGCAAACTGCTGTTTCAGGAACTTATGTCTATGAGTATTGCACCTCGGATGATGAGTGTTTAGCTCTTTAAAAGATCCTCAACAAGTTACTTGTAAATATCTTTTGTCTCTTATTTCTATGATCCCACTTTAAAAAAAAACATATATACTACATGGTGAGAAAAAGCATTTTATTTGTTTTGTTTCATGATATGCATGCTTTTCTTCTGTAAATAGATAATAAACTTTTGTAGACAGTTTTGATGTGTTATCTTTATTTTGTATTTCACTATGTAAAACCAGTGAATTATAACTGAAGTATTAGTGGACTGGATGAAAAGAAACTGGTTACTAGACAAGAACAGGGGTTGTAGTTATTTATGGTTATTTTTAGCCATGCAGACTGATATATTCTGCAGGTTTATAGCTCGGCACCTTCACCTGTTTAAAAAAAAGATAAAAATTAGTTACATATATGGACGTGGCTGACTTTCTAATTTTCAGGTAGTTTCCAAATAAATGATGTTAAAGCGTGGGGATAAAGGATATGTAAGGAACTGTATAAATGATATGGTGGAGGGCACTTTGGAATTTGAGCTATACGATTTTAGATGTGAAAGGGATTTTGTTAGTCTCTGTGTAAGAGATGGACCTGATTCTAGAACTGGGAGAGCACATTTCACAAACCAGCAAGTCACGATCCAGAGGGCCTAAGGAACTTGCCCTTGTCTTCCAACTCACATTCAGCATGTAAAGTGGAATGCCTAGTGGCAGAGCTGAGACTCAAGCACGACTACTGATGTTTGTTTCCTCGCCTGGCATTACACATCTTGGCTGAAGAGAATCTGACTAAACACATCTTTACTTGATAATTCTCCCTTTCACACCAGTTGAATGATATACACAGTGGAATGGTTTGACAAACACTGACAATAAAGTTTGTTCTTATTTCTGGCTGAAGGCAAAGCCAATCCAGACCTCAGTCTAAGAGAACTAATAAATGTGAAGTAGCATTACTCTGACACCGCCAGCAAGGCGGCTTAAAAGCAAGCTTTTGACAGTGGAGGGGACAGAGGCACGACAGTTGGGTACTTGCCAATATACTTTCTAATTTTTTCTTATAAAAGCTCAAAGTGAAGGACCCACAATCATTTCCTTTTAAATGGGAATTTAATATAAAGTCACAACACCAAGGAAAACTGCTTTGTAGATTAGAAAGTTATGGGAAATAGAAGCCATTCCAGTCAAGTCTGAGTTTTTGTCTCTTACGTATAAGGTGAAAGCAGCTAAGTCATAATAATGCCTTCCACCAGCCATCTGAACGTTCTTTCAGAGTTTGTGCTCCACATTTTGATTCCACAATTACTGTCCCTGTGGATTCCTGACATTACAGAATTGCATTAAGAGCTGTGTCTGATACTTTCAGATTTGGCTCTGTTCTTCATCAAGCAAAAGCACTGTTCATTTTTGAATGGTTGAGATTTCCTACCTACCTTTATTCACTGGCATTTCGTGTAAGGCATCAACCACTGTAATTTTTGCCGAGGCAGAAGCCTGTCCTTGGGAATTGGATGCATGGCACTCGTATTCTCCAGCATCTTCCTTACTGAGAGGAGATACCTGTGAAAGAAAAAGGGTCTTTAGTGTCTCTGGGGAGGGGGGGGGTCCTCTTTTTTCCAGGGGTTTCAATTAGGTTATTATTTCATAAGTTTCCTAAGATGACCAGGGGATTCACAGCAAAGACTGCTAGAAATCGAGCAATCCTGTGCTAGGAGGATGACACAGCCACCATATTTGGTCTGCTGGGAGGAGTCACACTGAGGAAATGTCATGGACAACTTGGTCACACAGCATAGGTTAAAAGATAGACAGGTGTACATGTGAGTTTGAGGGAGACCTTGATACGGTACATGATCTAAGTACTATCCATGAGCAGCCACAACTGTCAAAGGTCAAGTTAAATCAAGTATTAATCAGTAATTGATTAAAGTAATTATTGTTTGGATCATTTAGTTTCCTGTGAGAATTCTGCTTCGAACTCTTAGGAAAAAAAATTAGTTCTCGTTTATTTGTTGCTCATTTCTAAAACATCCAGTAAGCCTCAGCTGTGTTTTTAGTTCCCTCTGAAAGAGGGGCAACAGCCCCGTGGTAGGGCTTCTCCAAAGATGTGGAAGTGAAGTACTTTGAGCCTGGCAGTACATCAGGCACCTGCCAGGTCAGCCGTGTCTAATCCCAACAATGGAATCTTTGCCAGCTCTTGGTACTCACCAACACCCAGCCAGTTACTTCATGCTTTTCTGGGCCTCCCCGGGTCTGAATGGCCAGGTTGTCCCGGTCACCAGGCAAGAGTTCTGTCCTTTGAACTCCATAGTGACCCCTTTTTACCTGCAAAACAATGGGAAAGTTCTCTATTGAATCAACCGGGAAGTGGCCACATTTCTATAATTGCACAAGGCATATATCAGATGTTTTAATTGGATTAACCTAGAAATTTTCCTATTACCCATTCTTGAATACTTACATAAAATATAGATCCTCTTATTTCTTGCTGTCAGGCTCCTTCTAGGCTTATATATTTTAAATTAATGTGTTTTCCTGCATGCTTGGGGAATACACGTCGTTATACTCTCCTGCCACTGGCTGCCGTCATTCATTCATGCCTTTAAATTCTCCACCTCAAGTGCTGGGCCTTTTCTTGCGTGCCATGCCATGTTTGACTCTGACAACTGTCACCCAGTGCTAGGTTTGACGCTTGGGACCTTGTGTAGAAGCCCAGGTTCAGGGGTTCTCCCTTCAACAGCCTCTTAATGAGAAATAGTAGGTTGAATCCAAAGCTAATACTATTCCTTTGTAATGAGGGCTAGGGTTTCATGAAACCATTTACTAAAGTCCTGAGGGCATAAACTGCTGTCAAACCCATGCTGCTGTCATTGTTCTCTGATGACAAAACTTGCTGCCTTTTCCTGTGCATGTGATGATGAGATTGAGGATGGGTTAAGAAGTTCAGTTTCCTTGGTTTGAGGCTAATAGTGAATACTGTCCTAATTCCACCCCCCCCCATTTGAAAAGGCAAACTTCGATCATTATATGAACTTTGAAAAGGATACAAAAATTCAGATAAGAATAAAATTTACCTGTAACCCCTCCATACATATACCATACATAAAATTTCTAGAAGTGGGATTGCTGAGTCACAGAGTATAAATATTTTAAAGCTTGTGATAATGATGGATTAAAAAAGTACAAGAAGCAATGTTTGTTTATTCCATCCCCAGTTCCTTTAAGAGCCAAGCTGATGTTATTGATTATTACCTTTGTAATTAGAACTTTCACAAATACGAACGGACCTCGCATTAAGAACATTCATAGATGCGAATGAATCACGGAAGTAGCTCACGTTTCTGCCAGACATTGTCACAGTTGTGCTGCTGTGTGCTTACTGTACAGTGTGATAGTGTACAATAGTACAGTGCTCAATCAGAGCCCAAGATGTCCAGAAGCAAGGGGAAAAGCAGTGGTGATGTGAAGGGGACTACTGGGAAGCGCAAAGCAATAACCATGGAAACAAAAGTGAAAATAATTGAGAGATTGGACCAAGGTGAAAAGATGGTAGACGTCGCTTATTCTTGTAACATGAATCATTCAACCATGGGCTTTATATTGTATATTTGTGTCAAAGGTGTATAAGACTCACTTTGTTGGACTTACGAATGAATCCGCCTTACAAATGTTCTGGAACGGAGATCGTTCATAAGTCGGGGACTTACTGTAGTATGAACACTATATTCCTACCTCACACTGCATATGGGGGATAGGTGTTTGTATGAATAGGGCATGAGTAGGGTATGGAAAGATACAAACAGGGCAGTGCACATTGGGTATTTCAAGGAATAGAAGGAGGTGGGGGAGATTTTGAACGCTTTATACATCTTTGGATAGTTTCTCTATATGACCATTATTACTTACTATTTTTAATTTTTTTAAAAAAGAATATTCTTAGAGGTCACGGAAGCCCAAACCTGAAGAAATACATGTTCAGGCAAGAAAAAAGAACCCAACAGGGATCCTCTCAGTCTCAGAAACATCCAAGTGTTTGGGAGGAATTCTAGAAGTTTTACCTTTCCTATAAGCATCATCTCTGACTTACCACGATTGAGGTAACGGTGGCTATTTCAGTTCAAGGCTAGGGGTTTGCTGCAAAAGTATGGGACTTGTTAACGTCACATGGTAACTACTGGTCAGAAAAGTACAGACCATTACCAGGCTGTGCCAACCATAAGAAGTGCTGCTGTAGCCTGAAGTGTCGCGGTGCGAAAGCTTGTCCTGTCACATCTGGTGCTGCTAAGAATCCTTGAGCAAGAAGGACATGCTACCTTCTTTGGACCTCAGTTTAACAAGTGAGGCTTCTAATGTTCATTTACATCCAAAATGTAGTTCTATGTTAAATTGGATTTGGACAACGTGTGATCTTAAGTATAAGTCTGTATTCTTAACAGTTGGGTTACAAGGACGGTGGGGAGAAAACAAATGGTCTGTGTAATTATTTAAGTCAGTGACTTTCTAAGTGTTTTGACACGGCCCATAGCAAGACATACATTTTTTGCACTGCAATCTGGAATATACAAAAGAAAAGTTTTATGAAATGATACCCTTACTCAATGTGATGCCTTAAGATATTTTCTGTTCTTTTTTAAATTTTATTTTTAAAGGAAATGCTGGCTGTGATCCTACATTAGATTCAGGACTCGCTGATGGGGGCGTGGTCCGCAGGTTGAAAACCTTGCTTTTAGGTCATGCATCTAGGAGTGGAAAAACAGCAGAGCCTGCCAGCTGGGTTTTGCTTGTTTCTCACAAGTCTGTAGAAAATGATTTTTTCCTGTCCCCCCAACTTTTTTCCTTCATCCCCACCCCCCAGGTGACGAAGCCCTCAGGGAAGCTCAGGGGATCTGAGCCATATAATTTCAGAAGCTTAAAAGAGATGATTCCCCAGGCAGGTTTATTCCCCTGGGGTGTGTGTGTGTAAGATGGAGTGAGGCAGAGAAAGGACTGAAGAAATGATTTTCGGCCAGATATGTCAATAAGGTCCCTGGCCCCAGGCACTTGGATCACCCTGGATTCTCACTGTGTAATTCCTAGAGCACTGTAACACGGTGGGTGTTCTTTGGAGAAGTTGTTCTCCTGCCTCTCCGCCAGCTGAACAAGCCAGTAGCCATAAATAAGCAAGAGGAGCGTCAATAGCTTTTGCCGTCAAGGCCAGGAACACATCCACCAGCTGCAGTTTTGCTCCCCACTGCTCCCTGCTCCCCTTTAAAACAAAAATAACCTATTGAAGTGAAATTTCACTGCTTCCTTTAACAGAAGTTTCAGCTGTAAAGGATAGTGGTAATACAGCTGGGCTTGTCTCTGCCGATCCCATCCCCAGGAATTTTCTGGAATCAGCCTGACTTCACTCCCACCAGATGGTCCAAAGAGCGCGATGCAGCTCTCTGGCCACATGGGGGCGCCAGAGGTTGGCAGATGACAACCTGAACCAGAGTCCTTCAGTGGGGATTTTACAATGCAGCAGGGAGAAGGGAGGAAGCCCTTTCTTTCCTCTGGGGTCATTAAGCTGTGGTCATAATGTGAATTTGGAGCTGCAGTGACAGAATCGCCTACAGTATGTGGAAGCTTCCTGAGGTGGAAGAAAAAAAATTAGATCAGTACACAGAGAGCAGTCTTGACCACATTGTGTGCCTGCATCCAGCTGCCCTTGAGGTTGGAATCCTAACCCTCCCCACCACCCCCTTTAGTTTTTGCTAAACTAGTTTGAAGTGAGTTTCTACAACTTGCAACAAAAAGAGTTCTGGTGCCAAAGTCCCTCCTGGAATTCCAGAAGTTGCTCCTCTGGTCAGACACTAAGCAAACAAAATAATCAAGAGAGACCATCATCCATCTTAGAGCTTGCTGGGGGAGTAAACATGCCACAAAGGGGAGTCTGGTTATGTCTTTTTACTATAAACTAGATTTCCTTTGTGTTAGCACGAGTTTGATGATATTCACGCCATAGGATTGTTGTGACCCTTAAACGAGCCAAAGTGTATAAAAAGGGAAATAATATAAAGTACAGTACAACCGTGAACTGTTATTTGATTTGGCAAATGAGTGTTTTTTCCCCTTCTATAGACACGCTGAGAGTATGCTGTGCTTCAAATGTGAAGATAGTTATACAAGATTATGCCCCTCGAAGGGAAACATTTCTGGGAACAGCAGGTGACAGGCTGAGTGCTAACTATGTATCTGACAACGAGCTGAGCGATTTTACCTGCCTGACTTTATGTAATTTTGACAAGGATTACATGCCACTGTCATCAGGCAGAGGAGGAAACTGAGGCATAGAGCAGTGGTTCTCAGTCTAGGCGATTTTTCCCCCAGGGGACATTTGGCAATGTCTGGAGACACATTTAACTGTCACACCTGGGGGGGGCAGGTGCCACTGGCACCTAGTGGGGGAAAGGCCAGGGGTGCTGCTAAACATCTTACACAGCACAGGGGAGGCCCCACAACAAAGCATTATCTGGCAGAAAATGTCATCAGGGCTAAGGCTAGAAAACCCCAGGTTAGCGAGAACTTACCCACTCCACTGCACAGTCTCCATTGGAGACACACGCACACACCCATCCATGCATGCACACACATGCTCACATGTGCACACACTCAGAGGGTGGGTTTGGGTGTTTAGCACAGTGTTCCCATACCTAAGGCTACCTGCTCCAGCACTGCTAACAAAAGCAGAGCAGGGACTGTTCGGGAGGTCAGTAAAATCGCTGGGAGGTGTCTGGACGACTGTCATAAGGCTTCTGCTTTGAGGGGCAGCAGACAATGGAACAGGCTGAGGATTTTAGGTTATGACCATCCTTGCACAGTGGGAGAGGAGCTTGTCAGTCTAGGATGTCTTTCTGAAATCTGTGGCACTGACCTTGTTCCAGATGAGGACAGGGGTTGGGATTCCGATGACCTCGCAGCTCAGGTACACCTGGGCGCCAGTTACATTCCAGATATCCTTGGGGGGCGTCACAATGGAAGGACCTACAAAAGAGGGCACAAAGCCAAACACAGTTTTTGAGACAGTCTTTAACATCAGTCAGCATGATGGGAAGTAAATACTGGATTATGTTTATGTGCCCATCTCCTCTGAATTATTGGAAGCAAATTTCAAAAAGCAGACCGGCTTCCCTCTGCTACCAGCATGATTTTAAGCTTACTTTGGGAATGCAGACTTCCAAACAAAAACAAAAATAATTAGGAAGAGAAATGTATTGTTTGTGAAATTTCCTTCTCTCTCAAACCATGCTTTAAATGAGTTTTAATTTACCATCTGTTTTCCATTATCTGGGTCTTTCAAATTAATATAGTGAAATTTTAGTTCCAAAATGTTTCCTGTTTTTCTGTTATGTTTACCAGTAATTTCATTTGAGGGGGGCAACATAAAACCACTCCTTGGGTAATGAACAAAATAAAATCTATGAAGATATTTGAAAATGTGCTGAGCACCCAGAAAAGATGGTAGTGCCTGCCTTACGAAGCTTAGGATCTGAGGTTGACGCGTCAGTGGCAATAGGGCAGGGATGGTAACTTACATGGAAGAGAAAAACAGGAAGTGCTGTGTGCCCTGGGAGACTGGAAGGGGACTCTTTTGAATGGAAGTGACCTGGTTTCAAGGAAGAAGGTGGAAGGGTCTTTCCTCCCAGCACAGGTTGGGGGAGGCAGTGGGTAAAAGAAAAGCAGCGACAGGACCACGCTGTGAGTGACCAGGACCCCCAAGGAGAAGGCTCTCTCCCAGGGTTCTCCATGGCTAGGTCCCTGGCAGCAGGCATCGACAAGTTGGGGCATCTGTCAAGGCATTGTCTGAAGAGAGTCACCAGAATCGGGCGATGCTGGGAGAGCCCCGAGTGACACCTCCCAGCCCCTCAATCCTGGAACACATCGCTAGGCCTTCTCCATATGCCCTCGGGTAAGAAGGACCTTAGCACCAACATCAATGGTCTGCATCCTTTTTGTTACTAGGAGGCCCTGGGGCCTGTGGGCCAAATCTGGCCTGCCACTTGTTTTTTACATAGCTTGTGAGTGGCCTTTGCATTTTTTAATTATTGAAAAATTAAAAGAAGGATATTTCATGACATGAAAATTATAAGTAGCTCTCATTTCAGTGTCCAATAAAATACAATTTTATTCGAACACAGCCATGCCCAGCATGGAGCAGGTGTGGCTGAGACTGTATGGCTTTAAGCATTTATTATACTATTTGGCCCTACACAGAGGAGCAAGTGCTGGTCCTTGCTCTAATCAACTGAGGGGGAACCAATGCCTAAATAAGACATTATAGCAAAGTCCCAGGACTTGGATCCTTTACACATTAGCAGAGCAAATGCAAGTAAACCCACTGGATGATTTCTGGTCCAGCTCTGAAATGCAACAGTTTGGAAGCCAACAAATTCTGAAAGACCTGTGCTTGCTCACTGCTCTGTCCTGCTGAGGGGCCAGCTCCCCAACATCTGCAGTAGAAGAGACAGGCACACCTACTTTTTAGTGGATGGTAATTGGAATTTCACTTCTGCTGATTCTGAATGCCAGGCGGCAGGCACCAGGGGCCTTCAGGGAGACCAGGGACAGGCCACAGGAGAGGGAGTGGACCTGGGAGCTTGGGCTCCCCAGAGTGACAGTGCACTCAGGCTCAGCGCTGTTTCTTGAATGAATGAGTTAATTATTCTCTCTGACTTTCAGCTCTCCGCGGCCTTGGGTCTTCAGCCGGATGCCTAACCGCAGGGTCATCTTGCTTCGGAGTCCTGGGAAAGGGACAACCTCCCCTTTAGCCTGGAAAGTTTTCTGGCATAATCAGCATTCAAGGGACATGAAATCTCCCCTTTTGCAACAGGCTATTTCCAGCTCACGATTAATTTCTTGAAGCAGAAAGGAAATGATCCCAGCATGTAAGATTTTTTCCCACTCATCTAAAGTATTAGAAGCTGATTTTTTTTAAATCCCCGGGGCATTTTTATGTTTTTCCCTTTACAAGAATGTGCAACACAATCAAAGTTTTGAAAGCTCTAAATATATTTAGTGCTTCCGTCCCTGCACACCACAGGTCTAAGGAGGAAGACTCTATCTTGGCCAGGGGTCCTGGCTTTTCTGTTGCAAACGTGGATATGGCGAGCATGGTGGTGCTCTGTTTATGTGTGTTTCTGTCTCTGTCTCCAACGCTTCCCGATGCTTCCCGGTCTGGTCTGGTCCTGTGTTGCAGCAACACAGGGCCCTGCAAATGGCTGGGCTGGGCCTCACCCCACCCAGGCTTCCTCCAGGGCCCTGGAACCACAAGGGCTTGGACACCACAGAACCGGATCTGGCTGGACTTTGAACTACTTCTGCTCACCTCTCTGAGGGCCCCCATGTGGCTTTGTCCTCCTTCCCACACATGGACTTAGCAGGGTGACCTCAAAGCTCAGGACATCTCAAGGGATTGTTCTGAGAAGAATATACAAGTGTTCAGGGATTTGGAGGGGCTCAGGAACAAAGCTGCCTCTCACATATCGAAACCACACTAGGAATGTAAGGCTTTTTTTTTTTTATTGTGAGCTCTGAGTGCCTCAGTCTTGTAACGAACCACTTATTTTAACATGCATCCGTCTCCCTCGAGTCAGAACAGATAGCAGGGTCATCCATCTTTGTCGGTGGGCAGGTTCTGGGGTGCACATGGAAGAATTCCAGCCTGGTTTTCTGTCACAGATCTTCAACACATGCTATGGATTCTTCCCGTGGCATAATTTAAAAACTAGGATATTCTTAGTTTTAATATAGTCCAATTTATCAAATTTTTCTTTTATGAGTAGTGCTTTTTGTGGCGTGTTGAAGCAATTTTTGCCTAGCCCAAGTCCGTCAAGAACCCCGGCGCTCTTCTATAAGCTTCATGGTTTTACTTTTCACATTGAGGTTTGTGGTTCATCTTGAATTACTTTTTGTGTATGCTAGGAAGTAGAGGTCACAGTTCACCTCCACCCCCACCACAGAAGACATTCAATTGCTTTGGAATCATTAGTTGAAAAAACCACCTTTTTCCTACTGAATCGTAAAGGTGCCTTTGTGGTAAACCCATTGACCATATGTGTGTGAGTCTATTTCTGGGTTCTCTGTGCTGTTCCATTGGTCTATGTGTCTATCCTTGCACCAACAACTGTAGTATAATTTAGAATTAACTGTATTAAAACTGAAGCATTGAACAGAGGACAGATCCATTATACCCATCTCCTTCCAATCGTTTCCTTATTCCAGGAAGTGGAACATTTAAGGAGGAGTAAGAACACTTTTAAAACACCTGAACCCAGGACTACTTTCAATGAGAACCATCGCCAAGATTAGGGGTTCAAGATTGGACAAATCATACTGTGGGTTCTTCTTTCTCCTCCCAACCCTTGGAATATAGGTACATATAAAACCTTAGGTTAATGGGCTGAGTCAATATTTGCACCAGTCTAAAAACATAAAAGATTTTGTTAATTCTGCTACCAGGCTACCCTGAGAATTCTATAATATTTCCACACAAGAAAAATCTGTATTACTCACAGCCTCCTTTGGAGTTGATGGGGTGCAGGGCCCGAGAAGGGACCCGTAGGACCAGTTTGCTGCACGACATTTAAAAAACTCTTGTTCAAATGTCCTTGAACAAATGCTGGATTCAGTAACATAATGAAAAGTTTAATAAAAAATACTAAGCTGGAAAGTGCTAAGCTACAGAATGGCATTTAGATTTGGAGATAGAGTCTCTTGCAAAGGAAACTCAGATCAGTGAATGATGAGACTAATAGTCAAGTGATGAACTGACCTCCTAGAATAGGTGGAGGCAGGCTGTCTTCACCCTGACTTCCTGGGTTGGAAGAATCCACAGGCTTCAGATCGTTCCTGCTTACTTGGCTGAGTGCTGACACCCACAGGGTCACCTACTTACTGAACTCTGCCTTTGCCACTAACTGTTCTAAAAATTGGAAAATTCCTTCAGAATATGAGGAGGGAGAAATTCTTCTTCTTTTTTTGGAGAAATTCTTGATAAAGGCACAAACAGCATTATAGAAAGATGAGTGATGGTACATGGTGAGAAAGAGTAAAGGAAAGGACTTAATGGTGACCCACAGAGACAGCAAGTGGACAAATCTTGTATGGAAGTGAAGTGATGGTAAAAACATTTCGGGCTAATAGAATGGCAGATGCAACAGTACTGCACTCCCTTCAGCCACTCTCAAGAACCATTATCCCACGTATTGTGCTAATAAGCAATTTCACTGCACACAATCATTGCAAATTGCATGCATATCATGCAACTCAATTTCTGAAGGTTCTGTTCTACCTCAGGAGAGTGCTCAGCAAAGTGACTCTTTACGAGACAACTTCTAGCTCTTTCCACTCTGCCTTTTTTCCAAGAATGCCAAAGTAAATCCAGAGTTTATTTCTGCTTTTAAGGATAAAGGAACTTTTAGTTCGCTCTGAGCTCATTTTTGGGCAGGAAGCTCAAAATCCGTCCTGGAGGCCAGGCCAAGGGTAACAACAATGCCATCTAAAATCATGCTCAGTGTTTGGATTCCACTTAAAGCAACTCACAGAATATGTAAATGTATAGGAACAAACAGCAGGAGAGGTTCAATTGTTTATTTATCCTTGCCTTTGTTCCAGTAAGGACTTCAGGCCGCTCACACATCCGTCTAGCAAACATCCTGTACATAGAATTAAATGACTGCCCACTCCCCTTCCCTACCCTGGGCAGCTCCAGGCAGTAACCACGCTGTCCCCAGTGCTGCCTGATGGCTGGTGTGCGAACAGCTACCCCAAGGCTTTCCTCACTTCAAAGCCACCCATATCTTTCTGTCTCAGATGACTGTATTGAAACCAGGCTGCTCCGTTTCCTTTCTTATCTTTCATGACTCAGTTCTCACTCAATCTCTTCTGACCTTTTGCAAGCCTCTAAGTTCATGTCGTAGAGGAATGAACAGCCATGGTCATTGGTTACACATTGCTCTCATGCTACAAGGGCATAGTTGACTCTT